CAGGACTTGGAAAGCATTGGAAAGGACCTAGTAGCCACTGCCAGAACGCATGCATTTTTAAATATGTAAATTGAAAAAGGAGAAAGCTTAATTCTTTCTAATGACCCCCAAGATGGTAATCCGGCTTTTCAGATCTCTAGGAAAACAGATTGAACATGGCACAGTTAATGTTTCAGCACTTCTAGGCCTTTCTCTGAAATATTTTAATGGGCTTTTAATTTATTGCAGCTCTTGATTAGCAGAGTTGAGGCAGGGTTACTGCTGACCTCCTGGGCCAAGATACTCCTGGGGCTGTAGTGAAGTGGAAAGAACAAAGGTTTGATAGTGTTCTTAGCTGGAGCCTCCCAGGGCTGAGCCCCTGGGGTTCACTGAATAATTCCTTCCCCTAAAGTAGTCAGAGAGCAATGCAATGTTCTTCAGATCTTGATCAGAGTTACCTGGGGTATCTGTTTGGTAGAACTGCAGATTCCTGGAACATGTTTTATAATCTCTGGACTATGGAGGGCAGGAACTTGCGCTTCGAGCTGATGCCCTCCTGCACACTCACATTTGCAGTCCATGGCCTTGATGATTGATATTGCTATAGTGTAAATACATGAGCTGGAGTAGAAAGCAGGTGGTGGTACTGCTACCTTGAAAAAATTATTGAGACTTGCGCATTATTAGTGCATTTACTTTTCACTAAATCTACTTCACAAGCTGGCTGTTCCCTACCTTCTTAAGTCAAAAAAACTTCCTTCCAGAAATTGTTTCTTTTTGGTCTGAAACAAGTGTTTTAGAATGTCCTTAAAGAGAGGTGATACACTTTTGTTTGTCTGAAAAAGCTGTTATTTCACCCTCAGGTTTAAAAGATAGTTTTTCTGGGTATACAATTCTACATAGGCAGGTAGGGGTTTTTGTCATTTTTTTCTTTTCTTTTTTGTTTTTGCCTCTGCACTATATAAAGGATAGTTTATTTGGGTATCTATCTTCTGGTGGTTTAAAAAATTTCAATTGCTGTATTTTTTATTTCCAGAGTTCAGAACAGTTAAGTATTTTAGTTAGCTGTTGGGTTTCAGGAAGATGGAACTCAGTCCTATGACTGTTGAATTTTTAGCAACACACACACACAGCACACACTCACAATTTCACAAACCACAGTGGTGATTCACCCTTTATTTTTAGATATGCCTGGTTACTTTAAAATATTAGAAGTCAAATAAGACACCACTAATGACCATACACATAGAGCATTGTTTAACCAATTTGTTTCTTAGCTAGAAAGCTGCTGCTACTCCACGAATGAAAATTAAACTCCTACATGAAATCTCCCACCAGCCTCTGTTCACAGCTGATCTTTGCTGTTGACTAGCCTACTCCCCACCCCCAAGCCTTCAAATATGATATTCTGACCTGTGAAATGCTTTTTCCACCCAGTCTTCCAATTCCTTCCAAAATCGCAAGATAATGAATTCTTCTAGAAAGCTCTTATCTCCCCAGACACCTACTGGGTTTCTCTGTGTCATCTGTACAGCTTCTCTGTGCTTCTGAATCACTCTGGAATCATAAAACTGGAGACAGTAAGTGACCTCATCCATCATTTGCTACAGGGATTGCAACTTTTGTTTTGTTTTGTTTAAATATAACTTATATAAAAAGTTAGCTGCTATCTTTGAAACAATTCTGAAATTTCGCTAAATGGAAATCTAGATTACTGCCTTTATTTATAGAATGGAAATCTCTTCTGGCTCTTGGGGTATGTTCCCATGTGACAGTGATTGGAAAGGGAAGTACAGTGGTTTCCCCCTTTAAGCTGATAAAGTGAGGTTTTCCCAGCTTGCCACATTCCTTTCCTCTCCCTGTTACCTTACATCTGGCCTTCCTGGCTCATTTGCGTTACCTGCCTATTCCAAAATGTGGTCCATGATTGGTAGTGTCAGCATGGCCAAGGTAATGCAAATGAGCACAGAAGGCCAGGTATAAGATGGGGTTGCCTTAGCTTTCCTGGTATGAAACAGGAACCTCAGGTACAGAAAGGTTAAGTGTCTTCTACAAGCCCACACAGCCAGAATCCACTTGAGCAAAGCTGAGTCAGAAGGGTATATCAGAAAAACTCAACATTTCTTTTATTAGGGTATTGGCTGGAAAAATACAGAGTTCTTATGAGCACAAGCTTTATAGAGTCAGGCCACTAAAACTCTCTATGCCTCAAGTTTTCTCATCTACATATTGAGTTTACAATAATAACATCTACTAAGAACTTCGTTGTAAGAACAGAATGAAATAATGATTGTAGAAGACTTAATACCCAGTACATAATGAGTTTCAACAAATGGCAATTTGGCCGGGCGTGGTGGCTCACGCCTGTAATCCCAGCACTTTGGGAGGCCAAGGCGGGTGGATCATGAGGTCAAGAGATTGAGACCATCCTGGTCAATGTGGTGAAACCCCGTCTCTACTAAAAATACAAAAAATTAGCTGGGCATGGTGGCGCATGCCTGTAATCCCAGCTACTCAGGGGGCTGAGGCAGGAGAATTGCCTGAACCCAGGAGGTGGAGGTTGCAGTGAGCCGAGATCGCACCATTGCACTCCAGCCTGGGTAACAAGAGCGAAACTCCGTCTCAAAAAAAAAAAAAAGGCAATTCTATTTTTAGAAAGTGCCGAAAAGTTATTTCTTTCAATTGTTGAATCATTTATTCACTCAAAAGATACGTATTGAGTACCTGCTATGAGCCAGGCATTTTGCAGAAATTTTGGAGTATTGTGATGAACAGCAACAACAAAATAGTTCCTTTATCTAATTGAGCTTATATTCTAGTGGGGAAGACAAGTGAATAAATACGCAAAGAAGTGTGTAGATGATGGCAAGAGCTCTGTAGTAGGCACATAGGATGATACCATTGAGAGTAACTTGGAACCTAACTCAAGTGGGTAGGCAGAACACACTTTTTGAAGTGGCCTTTGTCCCTAAGACCCAATACTGAGAAGGGGCCAGTTGTATAAGGAATAGGCTCATGGCGTCCTGGGAAGCTGAGATAGCAAGTACACCAGCCCTGAGTCAGGAAGACACATGCCTTGCTTGAAACAAAAGGAAGGCCACTGTGTCTACATTGGTTATAGTTTGAGATTGGGTTGGTAGTTAAGGTCATGTCAGAGAAGTAGAGAGTAAGCAGATTATGTAGGGCCTTCAGGCCAACACCGCGGAATACTATGCAGCCATAAAAAATGATGAGTTCGTGTCCTTTGTAGGGACATGGATGAATCTGGAAACCATCATTCTCAGCAAACTGACACAAGAACAATCAAACACTGCATGTTCTCACTCATAGGCGGGTGTTGAACAGTGAGAACAGGTGGACACAGGGAGGGGAGCATCACACACTGGGGTCTGTTGAGGGGTACCAAGGGAGGAACGGGGGGGTAGGGTGTTGGGGAGGGATAACACGGGGAGAAATGCCAGATATAGGTGACGGGGATGGAGGCAGCAAACCACATTGCCATGTATGTACCTATGCAACAATCCTACATGTTCTGCACATGTACCCCAGAACCTAAAGTACAATAAAAAAAAAAGTTTGAGTTTTATCCTAAAGATGGTAAATAAATCCAGCCCATTTCTTTTTCCTCCTTTTTTTCTTTATTATTTTCTTTTTTGCTATGTGACATAGGCCTCTGGCTTTAGGGAACATGTCTGAGCCTTGAAAGTGCTTTTTGGATCTCAACACTGCTTGGAGGCTTGGAGAACAGGACTTTGTCATTTGATGCAAAGTGTGGTCCATGATTAGTAGTATCAGCATCTCCTGATAGTTTTTTAGAAATGTAGAATCTCAGGCCCACTCCAGACCTAGCAAATCAGAGTCTTTAGGGATGGGTCCCGGGAATCTATTTTCAAATGCTCTCCAAGAGATGTGTATGTACACAAGTTTGAGAAGCATGGATCTAGAATACCTTTGGACAGATTTCTACAGGACTTGGAGCTGTGGTCATTGGAAAGGAATGGAAGCCTTCCCTGGGCACGCAGGGGCTGCTGCCAGCCACCGGGGATGCCAGCTCAATAGGGCTAGGCACTGGTGCCAGGGTTAGCATTCTAGGCACTTGAAAAAGTCACCAGTCACAGCACATCTTTGGTGTTGATGGCAGATTAGCATAAGAGTGAATCGTGGTAAAAACAAAACAAAAACCAAAAACCTCTTTTTAATCGGAAGCTTAGAAGAGAAATTAATATAATGTTTAGAGTAAATATGTTTCTTTCAAAAAGACAGAAGCTTAGGAGTGGAAGGAACTTGAAGAACATTGGGTAATGCCCTGACCCTACAGATGGAGAGACTGGAATCTGGAGATGATAAATGGCTTTCCTGGGGCCACACTAGTGACTGATGCAACACTGGGTCCAGAACTCAGGCTTCTCAGCTTTAGAACTCTGACCGTCACACAGTACGGGCTTTCTTGTTGGAAGCATCTTCATAAGTATTGCTCCTTATGTAATCCATAATCATTTTTAGAATAAAATAGAATTACTTTGGAGAAAAAAATTAGTGATGATTACCTTTCCTACTAGTTTTAACGTTCATTATTACTATTATTATTATTTCCAAAATATTTTAAAATTCTTATTTAATTTTTTTGCATTTCTTCAAAAAAGATCATTGCTTTATAAGGCATGGTACATTTATCTGTGTGAGAGTTTAGTTAAAACCGTTCATTGTTACCTGAACACTTGATAATGGGAAGTGGGTATTTTCATATGCTAAAATATTTAAAATATTCGGTTCAACGCCCATAATAAATAACAACTTTTTAGTGTACGTGTTGAAGTGATTAGTAAATGTATCTTTGAAAACAGTATTTCCGGTTCGTATTTGACAGGATCACACTTGATGCATTGACATACTCTGGCTTGAACGGTGTTTTCCCCTACCTCAAGAATCTATGTCTGTCTTGCTGTTTTCAAGTGTAAGGAAGTGGTGGTTTTAGAACTTACATCTTAGTTATGTGTAAAAAAAATATTTTTGTGTTGCAGTGTCCCAGAAGCTTTTGTTGACAATTCCAGTTTCCGAACAAAACATTTCGGCAATGGTGAGGGCTTCAATCCCTTCTCTGATTTGGCCATGAACGGATGGATGTGATGCCTGCTAGCCAAAAGGGTGAGTGAATGAATGTTTGTGATTATTCATCTGAAAATTCACAAGACAAAAAGTCCATCATGACAGTTGCCCACCCAGGATGAGAGCTTCTCACCTTGAAAGAAGGGACAAACTCTGTCATTGTTTTCTGGTGTAACCTTTTCAGATAATTCCTACAGTGATCTGAGGGTTCATAAAAGGCATAATAGGACCTAGGAGAACTTTCTCTGTTTGCTAGTTTAATTGTACTCTGAAGGGTGGACTATCTCAATTTTGGGCCATGTGCAATGTTGAATGAGTAATTACTTTTTTGGTCCTGTGACAGCTTGGTGATAACATGAGCCACTATGAAATAAGACAATAACTTTTTCATCTTGAATTTTAGGGAAAATTTGAGTCTAATTTGTTCCTTGAGAGAGTCCCATCCCAAACTTTTTGTATGATGAGGACTTTTAAGAAAGCCAAAGGGTTAGAAACTTGGGATTTTCAAAGAATTTTTTGGAAGACTTCTGAGAATTTTTTCCAATGGTAATTTACCTCATTAGGTTGTTCACTTACTTTTTAGGGGGAGGGTAGAAGGGACATGATGATGATTTTCTCTAACGTGTATTTTCCATCCATCATGTTCCTCAGTAGTCAATCACTCCCCTGTAGTAAGGGACACTGTGACTTACCATTACCAGAGACAATGATTGGTTGAGGCCAGGATTTGGGTGACAACTCTGACATCATTTGTGGTAGTCTTGTCATTGAGTGAGGTCAATTTTATGAAGAACCGTATCATTTCAGGTTTTGTATTGAATGGCATTTAATGGTAAGACTCATTGGCATAAAGTCATAACTTATCTTTTTCTGTCTTAGTGCAACAATATTGGAAACAGATTCTAAATAATGGAGAGAAGTATACTGAAGCAGAAAGGGCACTGTATTGGGAGTTGGGAGGCCTAATAGTTACCTGGCATGGGGCAAATGAGTCTTTTTCCTTGATTGTTTTTTTGTTTTTTGGTTTTTTTTGAGGCAGACTTTTGCTGTCATTGCCCAGGCTGTAGTACAATGGCATGATCTCGGCTCACTGCAACCTTCGCCCCCCAGGTTCAAGCGATTCTCCTGCCTCAGCCTCCCTAGTAGCTGAGATTACAGGCGCCCACCATCATGCCCAGCTAATGTTAGTATTTTTAGTAGAGATGGGGTTTCACCACGTTGGCCCAGCTGGTCTCGAACTCTTGACCTCAGATAATCTGTCTACCTTGGCCTCCCAAAGTGCTGGGATTACAGGCGTGAGCCACCATGCTCAGCCTGATTTTCTCTATCTAAAACAAAGCATGTAGATTAGAGGATCCTAACCTGTCAGTGTATCTAGGCCCTAGAAATTATCTGTTTAAACACCTCAGCTTACAAATGGGAAAGCTGAAGTCCATGAGTCTAAGTGGGATGGTCTGGACTGGACCATTTAGTTGGCTAAAACCCTGGGGTTGGTCTGGACTGAACCATAGTTGTCTGGTCATCATTCAGTGGTTCTTGATAGCTTATTTTAATTACGAGCATTAAGACATTCTATCCATTTAGCTTTTTAAACCTCTTCTGATGATGTGTTGAAGATACTGTTATGCATTCAACTATTTGGGCCAGATTTGTAAAGATTTTATAGCTAGAGGTCATTTTGAAAAATCCCTCCCATTTTACACATTAAAAACTATGTTAGTGTTATTGTCCAGAGAAACTGTGTTCATAGTGAAGCAACTAGCTCAAATATTCAAGACCAGATGATTTTCAAAGAACTATTGGCTTGAAAAGGCACTTCCTGCCACAATTTGTTAACTGATAACTTATACGTTGTATTCTGTTCTGCTGGAGCTAGAGACAGAGAGAAAAAAAATACAATCTCTTACCTTCCCTACAGTCTTACTTCTGTCAGTGGCAAAAATAAGGCAACTAGTAAGCAGTAACACACAGGCAAGGACGTCCAGAATGAAAAGAAATAGTTAATGGAGTCATGAAATTTTAGAGCCATTAGTGATCTTTGATCTTTTTAGTGGGTGGGCAAGTGCTTTGCCTCCCTCACCTGTGAACTTCTGAGGCTTTCCATTGCCATGCATGTATGATAGACTTTTGTGGATAGTCTGTAGTGAACAGGCAGCACATGTTAAGAAAAGTCCTATCTTGGCCAGGTGTGGTGGCTTATGCCTGTCATCCCAGCACTTTGGAGGCCAAGGCAGGTGGATCACCTAAGGTCAGAAGTTCAAGACCAGCCTGACCAATATGGTGAAACCGGGGCTCTCATAAAAATACAAAAATTAGCTGGGCATGGTGGCAGGTGCCTGTAGTCCCAGCTACTTGAGAGGCTGAGATGGGAGAATTGCTTGAACCCAGGAAATAGAGGTTGCAGTGGGCTGAGAACGTGCCACTGCACTCTAGCCTGGGTGACAAAGTGAGGCTCTATCTCAAAAATAATAATAATAATGATAATGATAATAATGAAAAGTCATATCTTTAGGAATTCAGGTAGAGTTAAGAATAAAGCCTGGGTCTATTTCGTATACGCATGAGAATTCATGAAAGTGGTTAGAATTCTGAAGTATTGAAATAACAACAAACTCAGGTTTTTGGTTACCTGTCATCTCTGTCTTTGCTATTGAGAGAGTCTGACTCAATCTTACTATTATAAAATTGATGTATGAAATTTAACAAAACCACATGAATGGATTTGTTGAAAACGAAGCTCGTTTTATTCATTAATTTCAATCGGGTTTGGGCCATTATTTGAAAAATCAATCTGAAGAACTGTAATGAAAATGATATCTGTTTTGAAAAAATATACTTTTAGGCCTAGTGGAATACTAGTTTTTGTTTTTGTTTTTCCTAAATAAGGAAGTTCTTAGTATTTATCAGACTGTAAAAAACTTCCCTTCTCTGTATTTTTTAGTATATGGTAAAGGTACCCAAAATCCTATTAACTGGAACACATATTCTGACTTTCTATCGCTCTCATTTTTTTTCTTTTTCTTTTTTTGAGACAGAGTTTTGCTCTTGTTGCCCAGGCTGGGGTGCAGTGGCACAATTTCAGCTCACTACAACCTCCACCTCCTGGGTTCAAGCTATTCTCCTGCCTCAGCTTCCTGAGTAGTTGGGATTATAGGTGCCCACCATGACACCCAACTAATTTTTGTATTTTTTAGTAGAGATAGGGATTTTTTTTTTTTGAGATGGAGTTTGTCTCTTGTTACCCAGGCTGGAGTGCAATGGCGTGATCTCAGCTCACTGCAACCTCCGCCTCCTGGGTTTAGTCAATTCTCCTGCCTCAGCCTCCTGAGTAGCTGGGACTACAGGCACACGCCTCCATGCCCAGCTAATTTTTTATATTTTTAGTAGAGACGGGGTTTCACCATGTTGACCAGGATGGTCTCGATCTTTTGACCTCGTGATCCACCCGCCTTGGCCTCCCAAAGTGCTGGGATTACAGGCATGAGCCACCACACTGGCCAAGACAGGGTTTTAACCATGCTGGCCAGGCCAGTCTCAAACACCTGACCTCAAGTGATCTGTCTGCCTCAGCATCCCAAAGTGCTGGGATTACAGGCGTGAGCCACTGTGCCCGGCCCCATTTTTTTCTCAAGGTGCATTTCCAAGGCTTGCTCAAAGGACTCACTCTCTCCCCAGATGCTGCAGTGTCTGGCCTTCCATGCATTATGCACCTGATAGTTAGGCCTTCCATTGTCAAACATTTGTTCACAGTCCTGTGCCTTTTAGAACTTCACAGTTTATTGAATAACCAAAAGGAGCACCAATTAATTGTTACAGCTGATAATTTGGAGTCTTTAGGCTTGAAATAAACTCTAATTCTGAGTGAAGCGTTTCATGTTAAGTGTCCTCCTGGTAGACCAGGGTCAGAGTCACAGAGGTAGGCAGCCAGAACAACAAATTGCCTCACTCAAACGCAAGGAAATGAAACCATGAAATAAAAGGTTTGCACAAATAGATCATTATGGCCAATTTTTTAAGGTCAGAAGATGGGTAATGTACTCGATTGATGCTGGCGATAACCATGCTTGCATAATAAATTAACTTAGAGGCAGGAGACAGCGGAAGAAGGGCTGAGCACTTCGCATCTCTCTTTGTGCTGTGGTTCTTTAATGCCACCGTTCGCCAGGAAGGAGTCAGAGTTGGCTCTTGTTTCCTGGTGTGAAGCTTTAGTTGACACTGGTAGCTATAGGATGCACATCACGGGACTTCCAGAATGAAGAGTGGCAATGCCTGCTGCATATTGAATAGGTAGTTAGCCACAGTGTTATTAATAAATGTGATCATAACAGTGTGCATTTGCAGAGAGTTTTTTTGAGAAGGGCTGACTAGAGATGGTGAATGTGCTGGCTTATTCGTCTCTGCCCTGTCATTGCATGGTCTCTACCAATAATTTGTCCCTTGCTGGTAGATCTGGTGAAAAGACATAAGTGTCATGTGACATTCATTGTGTGTTATTTGCTCACACTTATTTTCCCTTATTTGCCCAGCCTTCCTCTTTTGATCTCTCTTACAATCAAATTGCTACCTTTTGACTTACTAGGAAGAGATAAAAACATGGGAAAATGCATCCTTCTCACCGAAGACTTCATGAAGGGCTAGTTTTTGGCTGGGAGTTTCTTTCTTTTTAAAATAAAACTCTAGAATATGGACTTTCTGTGATGGGTTTTGGGGTGGGGCGGTAGTGATGAAGCTTCCAGAAGGTATGTGTGGCTGGTGGGTACCTTGGGCCAGGAGAGCCAGCTGACGAATTTCCTTTCTGGTCTGCCTTGTGCTGCAGCCTGTCGGGGCCAACCCACTGTTATGTGCTTAAACTTCCAGTCTTTGGAGTTTTGACTTTGAAAAGTAATTTCAACAATTTAATAAGCTACATAATATGTTTTATAAGCTGGAGCGAATGATCTTAAGTATTTTGGTCTCTTTCATAACACAATGAACCCAATATTGGTAAAAATACAGATCTTCACTCACACCATAAAGAAAGGCTAGATTTAATAAGCAGT